ATTGGAGAACAAATATTTCAATTGGTAGTAAATATTTTTCATGAAAAATATATAAATTATAAAATTATCTTCTCATGTTTTTTCAGGTTAAGGAATTATGCTAGGACTAGAAGAAGATAAAGTCCCCTGTGTGGCGGAGATAAGCAGAGCCTCATCCAAGTCCCATAAATTTGGCCACTTTTTCTGACATAAACCAAAAATCCCATTCATTTTATTCCCAACTTGATTTTTTGATCATCCTCTCACATTTCCCAATGTAATCCTCCCCAACACCAGTTCATCACCTGGCGACATCCCATTTGCCAGATCCGCCAATCAATGGTCCCACACAACCTTTTGGCACAAGCATCAAAGATCCACGTGGCTTTCAACGAATGTTGGACCCACTATTTGCACGTCAACCAACGGCCCTGATCCTGTTAGGTAATGACATATTATACAACTTGTACCAGAAGGGTCAACTAAGGACAGAACCGTAAAAACATCTGTCTTTCCGTTTTTCTAATGACGTTTTCAGTTGTGCTTGGAGCAGTGCCTGGAAAAGCCAACGCTTTCAATATTTGATAGTTGTTAAGAGAGGAAGAAAGGAGGTTTCTTTAGAGAGAAAGAAGAAGGATGGGAAGAGCATTTGTATATGTAATTCTTGGAGGAGGTGTAGCAGCTGGATATGCAGCCCTCGAATTTACAAAAAGAGGGGTTTCTCATGGTGAACTTTGCATTATTTCAGAAGAACCTGTGCGTCTTAATTCGAAATTCAATCTTATTTGTTCTTCTTTGCATGTTTGTTTTCTTTCAGCTTCATTTGCTTCTTATCTGTAGTGGCATTGGCACTTCTTTGAATTGGGTGGCTTTTTTTCTCGCTATTTTTGCTTGGTGTAAACAGTCATGTCTTTCTTTTTTGTTTCTGAATTATGATCAAATTTTATGTTCTACAAGACTTTTCTATGATTTGGGTATTTCTATTTGGTTTTTTTACTTCTTGTTGATTGTTTTCTTTTGCTTGTAGATACTTATTCTGGTTGTACCGTATGGTTTTTAAGATTTGGTCAAAAGCTTAGAAATGGTCTTGTTTGAACATTTGATATGTTTTAAAGCTGAATTGAATTAATTTTCGAGAACAGTATGTAAAAAAGGAATTATGAAGTTGTTACTTATACTCATAGAAGTTTGAGGTTTCCATTAGATTGATGTATTGGAACATGTATGGGATTTCAGCAATCAATTATGTAGTTAAGAGATGCTTGTGCCAATTATTTGTGGTGCATGCCATTTTTATGAATGTAATTTATCTGTAATTTAGAAAATCTTAAATGGTATCATTTTGCATGCACATGAAGAGATTTTGATTTATAGGAACTAGGATTGTGGTATATAGAAGCTGGCATAATCTAATAGAATGTACTTGTGATGGCCTAGATGCATCGGTCAGCTAACGAATCAAATCCTACAAATATTGACCCTCTAAATGTCATGCATCGTATGCAATATAATTCTTCATCCATATCTTAAATCATATTTTCTTCATTTCAGGTTCATTATTGATGCCTCTCTATCTTTAAGACTTGTAGGATATGACTTTGTAGTTTTATTCCTTAATTCGTCAATTTAAACAGAGTACTATGGATTTCTTTTCAGGTTGCCCCATATGAGAGGCCGGCTTTAAGCAAAGGCTTTTTACTTCCTGAATGTAAGAAGCATTTTCAACTATATACTACATTTACGTTTTTTCTTCTGGGTTTCATTCAATTTTTTCCACCACATTTCTGCTTGGAAAAGATTGTAGAAACAAGACTAGTAGAAAAGAGCATGAATTTAATGTGACATTGTTGTGCCATTGCCCAATTTTTTTGGTAATAACTGATAACTTTACACCAATGTCTTGTCTGCACACTGGGAATTCTCTGTTTTTCTTTATCATGCTCATTGGCAATTTGTAGTGCTCTGTAATTATAAGTTTTTTTACCAATAATAGTGATAAATACCTACTCAAATGGCATATTTATACCTACATGTGGCTTTTTGGTATCATGAGAGATTTGAGAAATTATTTAGGATGAAAGGCTGTAAGGTCATGCTAAATTTTTGGTTCAGGGTGGGCAATTGGCATTGGTTTCTTGCCTGTCTATTCCCTAATTTTTAGCTGAATTAATTATAGACGTGTTTTCCATCTTCTTTTATCCTGATATTCTATGGTTTTTATTGATTAAATTTGTGTTAATATGCAGCTCCTGCACGTCTTCCATCATTTCACACTTGTGTTGGTGCTAATGAGGAAAGGTTAACTCCAAAATGGTACAAGGAACATGGTAAATATTTTCTTCTAGCTTACTCCTTTTACTTCCGCAGATCATAGAAAGAAACATAGCTTTCTGAAAATATATTGCTTCTGACATGTGCTAGATGGTCCATTGCAAGATTGTTGGTTGCTCTCTTTCAAGTTTGTGTGTTTTATATATGTATCTTGAAACATCACTGAACATGCTGATAAACTATTAGTAGCCATATTTCTTCATGTTCATAGATACGGTCAAAGAAAGGAAACTAAAACTTTTAATCTCTAGAATTTTCTCTTTCTTAGATAGATCATTATTCTTTTTATTCTTTTTTAGGGATTGAATTAGTCCTCGGAACTCGAGTTAAGTCTGCTGATGTGAGACGCAAGACGTTATTAACAGCAACTGGAGAGACTATAAGTTACAAGATCCTCATCATTGCAACAGGTGCTCGGGTATTGAAACTAATCTTTTAATGGTTTTATGCCTTCTCTTGCTTTGGATAGTCAGTTGATCTGTTTGTTACTCCCCTTGCCAAAATGCCAATAACTTCTCATAAAACAAGAAGAAATATGTTTCTGAAAGGGTATGATGTTTGAATTAGACTCAACAGGAACATATTGGTCAGAATTGGAGCTCATCTTAAAATTTTCACAATTGATGGTTCTTTGAATTGTAGGGTGCCGATATTTCTTCTCATGGGTAATATGTCTGCATTCCTGGCTTAATTTTTTTTTGTATGTGTGTCTGTTAAATGTAGGCTTTGAAGCTTGAAGAATTTGGAGTGAGTGGATCAGAAGCTGAAAATGTATGTTATTTACGAGATTTAGCAGATGCGAACAGCCTTGTCAATGTGATGCAATCTTGTGCTGGTGGGAATGCTGTTGTCATTGGTGGTGGGTACATTGGAATGGAGTGTGCTGCATCTTTGGTGATCAATAAAATAAATGTAACCATGGTTTTCCCTGAAGCACATTGCAGTGAGTGTCCATAGTGCTGTGTTCTTCGTTTCTTGATCAAACTGCACTTTTGTTTCGTCTTTCTCCCTTTTAAGCTTCTAGATTATTTAAGAGCACCTCTAAGTAAATGATGTAACTATTTCCTATGTTGCAGTGGCTCGTTTATTTACACCCAAGATTGCAAGCTATTATGAGGATTATTATCAGTCTAAAGGAGTGAAGTTCATTAAAGGAACTGTTTTGTCATCATTTGAATTTGACTCCAGTGGAAAGGTAAATTATAATAATATGCTGCTTTAAAGTTGAATTTCTTTCGCCATATAGTAGTGTGGTTTGTGGACCCTTGTTACTAAAAGTTGTGTTACGTTTTGGAGCAGAACCTGATGTTTGTTAATTAGCTAATCAAGCTGCTTTTCAGGTTACGGCTGTTAATCTTCGGGATGGAAGTCAGCTACCTGCAGACATGGTCGTGGTGGGAATTGGAATACGCCCAAACACAAGCCTGTTTGAAGGACAACTGACATTGGAGAAAGGTGGGATCAAAGTGAACGGAAAGTTACAAACAAGCAACAACTCAGTTTATGCAGTCGGAGATGTTGCTACATTTCCAGTCAAACTATTTGGTGAAACGCGCAGACTTGAGCATGTTGATTCAGTCCGAAAATCTGCAAAACATGCTGTCGCTGCAATCTTGGAACCGGAGAAAGCAGGCGAGTTTGACTACCTGCCATTCTTCTACTCCAGAGTCTTTGCATTGTCTTGGCAGTTTTTTGGGGACAATGCAGGAGAGGTAGTGCATTTTGGGGATTACTCAGGGAGTACCTTTGGGGCTTATTGGATAAGCAAGGGTCATCTTGTTGGGTCTTTCCTTGAAGGGGGAACCAAAGAAGAGTATGAAGCCATAGCCAATGCCACCAGGCTTCAAGCAGCGGTTGAGGATCTGGCTGAGGTGGGAAGGCAGGGTCTGAAATTTGCTCTGACAGTTAGTAAGACACCGCTGCCTACACCACCCATTGAAGTCAGCAGTTCGAGCCTTGTTTTGGAAAGACCAGTCTATGCTTGGCATGCAACAGCCGGTGTTGTTCTGGCTGCATCCGTAGCTGGATTTGCATATTGGTACGGAAGGAGACGTAGAAGGTGGTGAGAAATCATTTTCCGTGCATCAGCAAGTTCTGATTTCACCTGTAACACCACTATTGTAGCACTGGTAGAATACAAGTTGTCGAAATACTTGATGTGTCATGATTTGTACTCAATCAATCAATAGCTCAAAATTATTACTCAATACAAAATCATATTTTTCAACTCAATCACTAGCTCAAAATTATTACTCAATACAAAATTATTGAATAATTCCCTTTCCCCACCAATGCCTATATTTCATCAATAACAGATAATAAACAATGTTCTATTGTAATTTAACCCATCCATGAGACAAGCAGTTGCTCTTTCTTCTATAAGACTGTATGAACTTCTGCTTACTGATGAGCCTCTGCTAGGCCTAGGAGACTCTTCACACACAGTGTTTAGGTGGCAATCGCTTACAACAGTAAGATCCCGTCACAGTTGAGAAAATGGATACAAGAGCAAGCAAATTGGGCGTTTGGTCTAGTGGTATGATTCTCGCTTTGGGTGCGAGAGGTCCCGAGTTCGATTCTCGGAACGCCCCTTACTATCCATTTTTATTTTCTTCTCTCGTACAAGGGCAATTATGTCAAATCAAATTCCCAACAGCAGTCGAGTTCGCTCTATACATTGCTCCCTTTCCTTCCTTATCCTCTATCCTGAGGAGAGGTCTTCAGTCTTCACTCTCTCACTCCAAGCAGAGAAAGGAAAGGAAAATGGCTTCTTCCACTCTCTCCACTCTTTCTCTCCGTTCCCCCTCTTACCCTCCACCAACTTCCTCTTATCCTACGCATCCCGTCCCTTTCAGAACCCCTTCTCTCCAATTCCCTCTACGTTCCACCGCCCCTTCTAACCTCACCCACCGCTGCACCTTCCTCCGTCCTCTCAACGCCACTGCAGCACCCGAAAAAATTGAAAAACTCGGCACCGAAATCTCCTCCCTAACTCTCGAAGAAGCCCGAACCCTTGTCGACTACCTGCAAGAGAAACTCGGCGTCACCGCCGCCGCCGTTGCCCCGGCTGCGGTCGCCGTTGGAGGCGCACCCGGTGCGGACGCGGGGGCCGCCGCTGTCGAGGAGAAGACAGAGTTCGATGTGGTGATCGAGGAGGTTCCAAGTAATGCGAGGATTACGGTGATTAAAGCCGTTAGGGCTTTGACGAATTTGGCTTTGAAAGAAGCGAAAGATTTGATTGAAGGGTTGCCGAAGAAGTTCAAAGAAGGGGTTTCGAAAGATGAGGCTGAGGATGCGAAGAAACAGCTTGAAGAAGCTGGAGCTAAAGTTTCTGTTGCTTAGAACTACCTTTTAAAGGTCTTTTTTTTTCCTTGGATTTTTTTGAAGGTAGTCTTTTTGTATGATTAATTCTCAGTACAGTAGAACAATATTAAAAATTTGTTGTATTTTGAAGATTTAATATTCCATATTTCTCTTTGTTAAAATGCTTAATTTGGGTACTTGAATGGAAATGATGAATTTCTGCTTGATGGGTGAACTTGTTAAGCTGCTGCTTAATGCAAATTAGGACAATTGAAGTCTAAATTTTGAGTTTTCTTGATCTGGGTAAGTTTGCAAATTGAGTTCTTGTCAAATTAGAAAGTCTATCTATCCAGAACTTAAATGGCCTGTGAACTTTTGGGTCTGATTCTCTATAGTTTCTTGTTGAACGGTACTGTTGATTTGCATGGAAACTGAATACCCCAGACAATGATTTGGTGTGTCTCTTTGTTTTTGAGACAAAGATTTGAGTTTTATGTCTTAAAGCATTGCATTTGAGACGACGAGAACAAACAATTTCATTTCTGGCTCTTGATACCTGGTGAGGTTTGCATTTGAGGTGACAAAGAAGTAAAGCTTGCACTTTGCCTCTTTCGTTTCCTTCTTTGCATATATTTGCTATAGATTGAATTGGATGAACGCCAAATACCTCAAAACTCAAAACTCAAATCCAACAGTCTTTTATCTGAATTTTAGTTGGTTTTAAAGCATTAGAGTCAGGATGCAACCAAGTTAATGATTCCAATTCTCCGATGGTCGAAACCTAAGGTAAACAAGCCACTTGCTGATCCAATATTTTCAAGCTCAAGTTCAGTAGTTGACTCTCTTGGCTTCACTTTCCTCCCAAGTCTATAAAGGAAGGAAGACCCATTCGTATCCCATACTAATTTCAATGATGCAGCCACTGGGGCAGATGGCACCCATCTGCCATTGGTGCGTGGAATTTAAGCTTCCTCAGACACCCCCCCAATCAGTCACTGACAAAGAAGAACCAGCAAGTTGACATCTTCAGCATTTATAGGACGGCATTTCCTAGAGTATCTACACAATAGCAAAGGGTCCATGCTCATTTAGGTTGGAATTCCTTAAGCTGAGTTCTGTCCAACCAAAAAAACAAAGGGTCTTTAGATGTTTTTCCTTAAGAAATTTAGTAAAAATTATTTGATATAATCATAATAATAATAATCTCTTTAAACATGAGTGAAAAAAAAAATCAAATTGAACTAATCCAACACCAGTAACTCAAACCATAATTGAAAGCAATAATGTACTGGCCTGTAGCCTAACGACAATTTTTATTGGGATTAAAGGTCAATTTTGCTAATTTATTATGACTCGTTGCATTAATTTTTAATTTCGTTGTTACAAAATTAATGAAATTAAAATATTTTACGAAATACGTCATCAATGAAAATAATAAATTTTCTTTAATCATTATTTTTTATTTTAAAAAAATCTAATTATAATGATAAAATTTAATAAGATTAAAATACAATGACAAAATTCAACATTGGTGATAATAAATTAGATAATAATCTCTTTTTTATTAATAAAATAAAAAATATTTATTTTTTATCTATATTACATGAAAAAGTTTAATTTTTAAGAAGGTAAATAAAAAAACACAAATTGATTTACTAAATCAATATTTGGCCACATTTTTTATACTCAATTTATTCCAATCTTCCTTTTTCTTTTTTTGTTTTTAATTTCTGCAGATTTAATTGCCAACTTAGTTTATCGCAAAACACGATACACGTGTCAAACATCCGTAAAAGAGGGTCTGCACTTCCTATCGTACGACCATCCTTTTTAAAATCCACATCAGTATCTCCAACCTTGTCAGCCTCGACGAAAGACAACTCACTCGCTATCCTAAGCCTCCACGTATCCCTTTCAAATCCTTGGGATCGAAACACAGCGAGTACATTTCATTCGCCACTCGCTATCGTGCGTGGTGAAACCTTAATTTTTGGTACGAAACGTGGACGAGACTGTTCAATAAAGACAACAAACGATTAAAAATCTTCTGTCTCTTTGGTTTATTTTTATTGGTAATTAATTTTAATTTTAAGGTAAAAGAAACTGAAAATTCATTTCCACAAAGGAATAATTACTCGAGAGTCGCCGCTTCATAACCTGAAACCCTATCTCAACTCTTCTCTTCTCTTACAGCTTGATTTATTTATTTATTTATTTTTCTTTTATTTTTAATCTTATTCACGCGAGATTTTCGTTTTACTTGTCTCTGTAAGAAGGAAAGAGAAAAAAGGAAGACCCAGTTTCAGTTTCTCTCTCTATTTGTAGGAGGAATCTTTTAAAAAGGAAATGGTAAATTCTCTCTCTAAAGAGTTTTCGTTGTAAAACTCCAACCCTCGAAAAAACCCTTTGTTCTTCTTCATCTTCAGGTACTTTTCTTTTCTTTTTTGGTGCATATTTATACATAATTTGTGCATTGCTTATTGGTTCTTTTTATTTAATAAGTATGGGCGAGTGGGTATTTTGATTAGTGATTTTTTTATTCGTTTTTGTTGATTTTACTTTTTGTCCCATGTTTCGGTTTGTAAAAATTCCACCTTTGAGGCTGATTTTCTTGGGAACATGGAGTCTTTGCAGGGGAAAAAAATGGAAGCTTTTGAAAAGCCAGCCAAAACCCTCTTTAGAGCTAGGTCTTTAGAGCAAGATGCTAAACCCCTCAAGGAAAGTTCTAAAGGTGCTGCTGCGGCTGCTGCTTTTATGGTTGAAAAGTCATGGGAAAATGGTGTTAGGGTTTCTATAAATGGAGAGGAAGGTTCTCGTGGTGATGAAGATGGTGACGGGCTAGAGGATTCTGAGATGAATGGGGTTTCTTCTTTGTTGCAAATGAAAGGAGGCGTTAGAAACATTAATGTTAATGGTGGAAATGAGAGTGCTAAAGGGTTTGGTTCTCTTTTAGGTGCTGTTGGTAGAAGTAAGGAAATTGATGATGAAAATGTGTTGGCAAGTGGTTATGATGGTGGTTCACTTATGGTGGATATTCTTGGCGAAACTGTGAAAACTGATGGGAAAAGAAGGAGGGATTTGGATGATAAGGAGAATGGTGGTGGTGATATAATGGGGAGGATGGATGCAACAGTTGATGAGGAAGGGGATGATGATGTTGATGGTGATTGGGGGTGTGAGTTTTCTGCCGGTGATTTCGTATGGGGTAAAATCAGGAGCCATCCATGGTGGCCAGGGCAGGTTTATGATCCATCCAATGCATCAGACTATGCAGTGAAGGTGAGACAGAAGGGAAGACTCCTTGTTGCATATTTTGGTGATAGTTCATTTGCTTGGTGCCACCCATCTCAGTTGAAGCCTTTTGAGGAGAATTTTGAGGAGATGTCAAGATTGAGTAACTCGAAGAATTTTCTCAATGCTGTACAGACCTCTGCAAATGAAATTGGCAGACTTGTAGAGTTGAAGATGACGTGCACTTGTGTTCCAGAAGAGAATTTTATTGGACTTCACAGGCCCCTCGCTGCGAATGCTGGGATAAAGAAAGGAGTTCTTGCGCCTGAAGGTGGAATTGGAAAGCTCTCAATTGGTCTCTTTGAGCCTGAAGAAATTCTTGGTAAACTGAAAGATATTGCGCAGGCAGTTCTAATGAGTAATTTGCTTGAATGTACAGTTTTGAAGGGCTGGCTTTCGGCTTTCTATCAATTGGTAGGGCGTCAAATGCCCATGTACCATGATCCCATGTCAATTCTGGACCCTGAAGAAAATGTCAGTACTCTCGTGGTGGACATGAGTGACTATAGTGAGGCAGTGGAAGTCCCAATCACAGGGCTAGTTGAAGAAGATTGGGTTTCTTCTACACCAGGTCTCAAATTTGGCCAACGCAATCAAACCTTGTTGAGGTGCCCGGAGATTTCCGAGGATGGCATGTATCTGATGAGGAAACAGAAAAGCATTGCTGAAATTATAAAAGGTGAAGTTGATGCTGACGCCAGAAAGGATGAGGATGTGGCTTTGAAGGGAACAAATTCAGGTGAACAAGCATCCTCATCTAGGAGGAAAAAGACAAAAGCTAATGGTGATGATGACAGTAATTCAAGTTCCATATCAAGGAAGAGGAAGGGAACTGAGCTTTCAGGATATCTTACAGCTAGAAAGGGCAAAATGTCTACAGTTGAAACTGATGGTATCGGGGCCAAGGAAGATATGGATAAGGGTTATTCATCAAGGGGAAGGAAAAAGAAAGATAAAGGAGCCAGCAATAATGTTGATGATAGCAGGGGCAAAGAAGATACCATTAACGATCCTGTCTCTTTTAGAAGGAAAGCCAATGTTGGTTCAGGGGTTGGAAAAAGTGATGCTGAAGCCAAAGACCTTATTGAGAGTGGTTCTTTATTGAGAGAAAGGAGAAGAGCAAGTACTTATCCCCTCCTTACACAAGTCCAACTGGGAAGCTAAGCAGAATGGGCATAGAAGCAGAATCCTTAAAGGTTTCCAGTGAGTCCCAATTAGGAGAGCAGATGACTAAGGCTACCGGCAACCTTGTCAGGTCCTCTCAGGTTCCCACTTATAGTGGTCAAAGGAATCAACTCGCTGAAGAAGTTCATACAGAGGAGGAAGCATCAAATGAAGCAAGTTTTCATACACCAAAAGGATACCTGAATAGGATGATTGATCTGGCAAAAGTTAACACTCCTGCCAATGAAGTTTTAATTGAAGTGCAGTCTGTAGCTCTTAGGCCACAATACCCAAGGAAAAACAACACTTTTGAAATTGCTGTGGAGTTTTTTTCTGAATTCAGAAGCTCAGTTTACCGAGATGGATTAAATTACAAAATATATAGTCAATTTCAACCTCATAGAAAGAGGAAATCTCCTGACTCTGTAACTGGGTCATCAGGAAAGGACCAAAATTTGACTGATTATGCTGCCTCTGGACGTACATTCCGGAAGAAGAAGGTTGGAAAGAATGAAGAGACGAAGATGGAGCAATCTGAAACTGGGCAAGCTACGAGGTCTTCACCGAAGAAAACAAGTGAAGAACTGAAGGCATACAACCCTGAAATCAAGCAAGCTGCCAGGGCTGCAGTTATGAAGAAAAATGATAATGAAGTTGAAAGTTCTTTACCTACTGCTCTCTTTGTGACATTTGGCCCTGGATCCTCATTGCCTACCAAGGATGATCTTATCAGAATATACAGCAGGTATGGAGCTCTAAACATGGAGGATACAGATATGTTCTACAATAATTTCTGTGCTCGTGTTGTCTTCATAAGAAGCTCTGATGCTGAGCAAGCCTTCAACGGTTCACAGTATGCTAGTCCCTTTGGAGCTTCCAATGTCAGTTTCCGGCTTCGGATTCACCCAGCTGCATCAGCTCATGATCACAGGGAAATACCAAGTGCAAAACCTTCTCCTCTAGCTAAGGAGAGAGCAAAAAGCTCAAAGAAGTCATCAGCTTCCCAAAAATCAGCCGAGCAGGCGTCCCAAAATTCAGCTGATCAGGCATCGCAGCTTAACTTTATCAGGCACAAACTTGAGATGCTGATGTCAATGCTGGAGAAATCTGATGAAAAGATGTCCTCAGAAATAAAATCCAAAGTACATAGTGAGATAAAAGGCCTCTTGGAGAAGGTAAACACAATGGTTAAGTCTTCATCTTAAACCGGGACATAGCAAAATACTGGATGTTTGGGGTTCTACATAGCAACTCTGTATTACTGTTTATGTCATTGCTGTTACATGAGGTAGGGTTTATATGATATAGGTAAGTTGCTTTAGTTCTAGTTACCAGTTGCATATGTTAAATTACCACAGGCTCTATCAGCTACTCAGGCATATATAGCTCAAACTGCAGTAGTTGGATTATGTTATCATGAATACAGATTCTGTTACTTTCGAGCAGAATGGAATCAGTTTTTTTTTTTTGTTGTCTTAAATGCTGATTCCTTTTTATAGTTCCCACGAAATTGTCAGATATGGCAACCCCTCCCAGTCTGTTTTCGCCCAACACTTTCATCTCCTATATATAATTGAATGATGAACGAGTTTAGATTTCTGGGCTTTGGATTGGAGCACGTTGCTGGGTGGCAATGAAATGATCATGCACTGCAGTTCATATTCCTTTGTAATTTTTGCGATCCTCCTTTTCGAAAACTTGTTCACTCAGGTTGAAGGTGCCTGAACGTGGGCCTTATTAGAATGAGCCATAGGCTTCTGTCAGCTGATCTGATCATGTCTACAACTATTGCTATTCCTTAATGGCAAGTTTGTTCTGCTCTTATCAAGATTGAAACACTGTTAGCTTTAAAGAAAGGCTTGTTCCTGAGTTACTGGTTAGGGTCATCCAGAGTATGCTTGTATTGGATAATAATAAAATAAAAGGGCAAAAGAAAGGTTTGTGTGAGTGATTCAATCAAACATAAAAGGCCAGGCCAATAGCAGTTGGGTTTTTTTCATTTTTTGCATACATCAATTCATCCACGGGGTGTTTTTCCAAAAACAAAAGCAATTCATTTGTTATCCCCACTGATATATGAATTAGGTAGTTCCAGAGTCTCCACACCTATTAACAGAATGAAACCAAAATATATCCATATGCTTCGAATCAAATTTAGTCATCCACAGGGTCCTGAGGAGCTTCATCCGGATTGCGCTTGATCGTGACAACTGGGCACTCAGCATGCTTCACGCAAAATTCACTCACAGTTCCAACAAATACCCTGCAGAAGCAAATTTCAACGGAACAATCAATAGCTTTACAGCTTTACTCTTCGGTTGGCATCTAGACTCTAGAGATGGCAATGGCAAAATTGAGTGTCAAAGATCGAAGGCATCAAGGACTGAGTATCAAAGATTGAAGGCATCAAGCACTTAAAGCATACCGCTGGAAAGGACCAAGTCCCCTACTGCCCACAACAAGGAGATCAGGCTGGACCCTCTTCACTTCATGACAGATAACCTCCTTTGGATCACCTTTCTTGATCCATGCTTCAGAAGCAACCTACAATCAGCAAATGTATTAACTGGGGAAATACCAAATGATTTACGTTTTAAGGGTCCTTCACACTGATACTAGTAATTTATTGAACAATCAATATTACCCCAATCTGATGACACTTTGTAACAAAGTATTCCAGCAGATGAAGCCCTCTTGCCCTGTCCCTGTGCCTCATGCTCTTGAAATCTTCAGGAGAGGCAAATATGCTGTCCATGTCATCGAACCCTATTGGAAAAACATATTAAAGGAAGATACCTCACTTCAAATTACCTGGCATTGGCCGATTATAAGACACTCAAGCTCAAACGGAGCATACAAAGATCCACCACTCAAACCAGTGTTGCCACTGGATTTGATGTTCCAGACTCAAAGCATAAACATTTCAAGATTATAAAGCCATATTGTACACAAACATTGTACTATCTACAAGGCTAGGGTTAAATTCAAGTAAATTCAGTCTCAAAACACAATTATGCTACCATATCCAGCCAAACTTTGATGGTGAAGTATATGATCAGTACCTTTAGAAAATGCATTTTCAAGGGCATGCTTTAGCATTACTGAATAAAACCCTTGACTTTCGATCAATTTCCTAATTTTCCATTTCTCACTAGCCAAATAGATTATTTTCTCAGCAATCTAACAGATTGTAGATGCAATAAGCCAATAATCAAACAACAAAACAATATTATTTAAGAAATGATGAATCCAATTAATGCACAATTTCTCTCATAACCTCATCAAAATCAGAAAGCCATAGTAATTTCAACAAAATCATGCATAATCAAAAATCACATTCTCACACTCTCTACAAACCCTAACCAGAGACAACCACGCGCGTATAAAACGCGCTCTTGTAAATTCACAAATACATAGAGACAAAAGTGTAGGAAAAGGAGGAGAGAGAGAGAGAGAGAGAGAGAACCATCTTCATCGGGAACTTGAACATGGAGGAAGAGAAGCTTGAAACCGGAAGTGTTTGATCGAACGATCTTCTGAAGAGTCCACTCGAAAGCTCCTCTGCTGCTTATCGAAGCGTGAGGGTACCCTTTGATCGTTGACTCGTTCACTGCCAACATTATCCGTGTTGCGGTTGCCTCACTTGTTGACATCGTTCCACTCCCAACTCACTGAACCACTCACTCACTCACTCGGTAACTTCTCTCTCTCTCTCTCTCTCTCTCTCTCTCTTTCTCTCTATGTCAGCTTTTTGGAACTCTCTAGCTTTTCGAGACAGGAAAGGCTCTGCGAAGGGCGTTAAATATGAGCGTTGTGCGCATCACGCGTATGATAAATATTACTAAGAGGAAAATGCTATCGTGTACTTTTGCGGTTATAATCCCACCGGGCAGATTTGAACAAATGACGTCATCTTTTGCCGAAAATTGGCGGGCCGTACTTTTGTCTTCTTTGTAGCTTTTCATTTAAGAATATATACAAATATTGGCAATTGGGCCATTATAGATTTAACCCATGGGCCAACCCAGAAAACCAGGTAGGCCAATTTGAGCCCACTTAGGCAAATCACGACATTAATTTAAGATATTTTTTAAATAAAAATGAAGGGACGGTAATAGGTGTCTTTTAGTCTAATATCTGTGAATCATTGACCTGATTATAAAAAGTACAGGAATTTTAATTCGGGTTTGAGACAGATTCGGATAGTAAATTTATAAAAGTGTAAACCCAAAGCTATAGGTTAATAAATTATAATTTAGATTCAACTTTGGATTAAAGGTTTAAATCTTTCCTAAAACAAATACTTTCGGCTAAGTTATAGTTTCTTTTACCCAAGCTAGAAGGGTTAAGAGTTAAGTTGATTGAGGGTAGAGAAATTCTATTAAGTGATTACACTGCTCAAGGTTGGCTTGAAAAATTTGCTATGGTTTGGTATATACAAAGTAGAAGGATGGAGCTCAAATGAACCTTTAAAACAAGTCTAAATGTTGTTTCTATAACATTAAAAGGGATTTAGCTGTACCAATTTATCAACATCAATCAATTAGGAGAAAACTTTAAGCCTAGTGGATTAACACCCAAATTTTAATGCATCTCTTTTTGCTCTCTATGATTTTCAAGACCCAAACAAAAGGAGCAAGGAACATTTGCTGCTATGTTAATGGCCTGGAACAATGAAAATTACTACTATATTACATTTTTCTTATAAATTACCAGCTTAATTAAATATTTTTTTATGTTAATTCCTAACCCCAAAACAACTCCTAAAAAAATGTTATGAAACTTTACAATCCAAAAACAAGAATGTACTTGCACAATTTTTGTATTGAAGAAAGCCTAAATAGATTTAAGTACCAATGAAAGAAACCCTCCCAAAACCCAAATGACCAAGCTGGTACAGCTCTAACCAAACTCTCTCAGCTTCAAACCTTGCACTCAAATTCCCCATTTCTTCTTCTTTCTCTTCTCCAAATGCTGTTGGAAATTCCCACATTCCCTCTTCTACCCTCACCCTTTCTCTCAAATTCCCATCCCCAAACTGATGATCACCACCACCACCACTACTACTACAAGAAGAACAGCTTGTCTTACATTTTCTCTTCATTTCCACCTTCTTTTTCCCCAGACCCAAACACCTCCTCCCCATTTTCCATGGGACTTTAACCAATGCGAGCGTCAAGAGATTGAGCACGGCACAAGGGCAACAACAGAGTGCCACACAGTCAGCAATCACTCCAGCGGTGCATGATCGACAATACTTGCCAGAACACTCTATGAAATCCCCACCTTCGTCGACGGCGTACCTGCTCTTCCATGTGGGTCCTCCTCCTCCGTTACGTGAAACTCGAGGTGAATTCTCCTCCATTTGATTTTTCTTCTTGGATAATTCTCACCTTATAAATATATATTTAGTAATCACAAACAACAAAACCCTGCAAAACAAAAATCAAAAACCTTTGATTTTTCCCATTCCTCTCTCCAAATCTAACGCATTGAATATACCGCATTCACTAAGTGAAAGCTTATAAGAACCTTAGAATTTCTGATTTTTTTTCGTTTTAAAAAAGTTATACGTATGGGAAACTAAGGGGCTAGATTTTTTTTTCTTTCATGCATTTATCCCAGTAATAATTCAAACACTCAGAGGTAAGTGATACCTCACGCGCTGAAGTGGGTTGTGGATGGTGAACGCCAATGGGAGTTTGACATGAAAGGAGACTGGGAGAGATTTCGAGCTTGGGCCGCGTGGGGGTTTAGGTGTACATATATGGTTCAATTCGTGACATTACCTAAACCTCCCTAATTTAGCAGGTTGACAAGAATGGGAAGATTCGAAAATGACAAAAGAACCCATCTGCAAAGGTGAGAGTTGGTGGTTGTGAAGAGGGGTAAGTTAGTAACTTGGGAAAAGAAAAGAGAGAAAGGAAATGTAACACAAAAGGGGAGGGAAGAGAAGGTGGGGGAGAGAATGAAAATGGGATTGTGACTAAGACGAGACAGCAGAGACAGAAACCCCGTTGATGAAAATTTTGTTTTTACCTTTAGATAAAAAAATCCAATGCTTCATGTCCCCCATGCCTATTTGAGCTTTCCAACAACTCTTGCTCTGTCCCCATGAACAGGGACTCTTCATCCTCCACATTCAAGTGCCTTAAGGGAATATCTTCAGCTTTTCCTTTCCATGTGCAACTACTACTAGGGTCATTTTCTTCCCTTAATTTTTTGTTTTTTGTTCTTGGTTACAACTTAGATGTCTAGATTCAGACCAAATACCCTAATTTACATGGAGATTTATCTTGTCAGATTGCATGGTAATTACTGGTTTTTCTTTCATAATCCAGAACAGGATCCATCTAAGAATATGGGATATGGGTCGAGAGTGAAATTTAAGTTGTACTGAAATATATATATATATAGGTTTACAGACAAGTTGGAAGGATTCTGGGTTCACGTGGGGGTTCAAGAGTCGAAAAATGGGCCAACTACGTGGCCCATGTTGAAAAGGCAGTAGATGAAATGGAGAAACTGTAAATTAATGCAATAAAATAGTCGCACAAATCTGCATTGGAATCTGCTTTTTCATTTGTTTTTCTGCCCCTATTTGAAGCTAGTTTTGACTAGGATTTTCGTTAAGCTAACTAGGCTGTCCTATGTATGTCATTCATTGCTTACGGCAAGAAGGTAGCCACATATTCTATAACAGATTTGAAAGTACTTTATAGTAATAATGAACAGATTAGTGATATTACAACCAAGAAATGGAGACAACAACAATGTTTTTATTAGAGTCAATGGCAAAGTACCATGCATGCTTGCTTCAAAGCAGGTAGATGTCAAATCTCAGAGTTTAAGTTCAATAAGGACTCGACTTTCTCTGGAATTAATGGGTTGAAATGTCGTTTGGAGAACATTTTTGCTTTCATGTTTTATCTATGGAAAAGAGGAGGAGACAGAACAATGCTTGCAGTTAAAACAACAATCCTACACCAGCCAGAAAACTATTCTAACTTAACCCGAGAAAATGGCAAAAGGATGACTCATAATTCAACCATGCAAAAGAATGAAGGAAGGAAAATTGGATTAATCATCAAGGCAATAAACTATGTTGTTAATGAAAGAAAACATTAACCTAACAAGGAACCCCAGAACAGGAAAATTTTTGTGGTGGGATCCACAGGCAATGCACTAATAGTTGTGGTGGGATCCAGCCCATGGCAACAATACTAGATATAATGTATTGTAATGTACACAGAAAAACAGATTCTTTCTATGTTTTGATCATGAAACCCTAATGTACTATTCAAAAAAGTAGAGTCATTTGTAAAGGCAAAAAGAGGTTCATATGAACTTTCCATTATGCTATCACTTTCAGTATAAACATATAGTAAATGAAAACATTGAATTCATAATTGATGTCATGAAATAAATCTTACCTTTGTTGTTAGCTAGCTGGCTAGTTTGTGTTTTTTCCACCTGAAACTTGAAGATATATCTCTCTGATGAGTAAAATTCAGGGGACTGTTTGTTGAACTTGTCTGCAAGCTTTGATCTGAGCTCAAAATGACAATGAGATTCAAGCTCTGGGTTATGTAGCATTTCCACAAGAAGGGAATCAGAGCACAGCTCTCTCTCTCTCTCTCTTCTGGACTCCTAGTTTTTTTTTTAATCTATTTTAAATGACTAGAAACCCTTTCTTAAAAATAGTAAAACAATTTGGTAATGCAGAAAACAATGAAGAGAGAAGCATTAAAAAAGTTTGTTGAAAAGAGAGAGAGATCAGATGAGGGAGTATGCTATATTTCTTTTTGATGAGTCCCGATGACAGCGAATATAGGAAATTGTCTCTCTCTTTTTACTCTTTATCATCAGCTTCTCACAGTTGGTTGTTTCTCTTCTAACTTTTTTGCATGACTCATGCACGTGAGAGAAGGGGGGAACACACGTGCATCCACATTCAGACCTTGATTAAAGAAAGTCGGGGAGGGGGACTTTTGGCTTCTGGTCATCACTCCATGACCATGGGGGTACTTTCCTCCTCCTCCACCGCCCTTTGTCAGGTGAATCTCATACCTGATTTGGACCCCAAACCCAAGAAATTTTCTAGCAAAATCAAGAAGGTAATCAAGCTTCGCACTTGCACTAATGTTTTGTTAAGTCCTTAGATTCCACTTTCCGACCTTTATATATCATCCAATTTTCTAGCAAAAGCTTCTCTCTTCCTTTCCTTAATCTATCAACCTTTGAATATTCAATTTCTTAAGCCCGTTATGATATTTTGTGCTACAAAAAGCACCAAGAGCAAGCTCATTAGATTAATCAAAACCATGTTCTTTATTATGAACAAGCTCATTATGAAATTTGAACAGTTGGGCCTATTTAGTTTGTCTTCAAAGTGCTGATGGAAAGCTCATGACCCAAAAGGCCCATAAAAGAATCTATAAATAGTCCCACCATTGTTCTTCCAATCACAATCGAAACACTAAAACCCTAATCGCAGCAGCCGCCATCAATTCCATTCCTGCAATTTCTTCTTCTATTGGGTTGTTCTGCTTTCTGGGTTTTTTTTTTTGTTTGTAATTTATGTTTTGTTTTACGATAAGAGGGCCAAGATGAAGAGTGCTTTATAAGTTCTGACACCTCTTGTATGAGAAAAGCTTGTAAAAGCTTTTCTTTGAGCAGAGATAGCAACTCTCTGAGCCCTTCCGATTCTCTTAAAAGATTTTATTTTTCTTTTCGGTTGATTGTTAGGTGATTATTCATCTTGCATCATCTTCCGTTGTGAATAATTAGTTTCAATATAAAATTTTACTTGAAATTTTTTTAATTAAGATTGTATATTTTAATTTACTTTTATGAATTTAATTTTAATTTGTTAATAAAATATATTTATTTTAATTTAGTATTTAACGAGTAATGTTTATTATATGTGAGTATATATTTGGATAATAATTAAAAATTTTTAATTGAATATTTTATTAAATAACATATTTCACATTAAGATATTTAAAAAATGACATTGAAATAACAGATAGTTTTATTTGTTAACATTTCTAGATGTGTCCAATTACTTGAAACTCAAATCTTGACTTTGCCCAATTTTACTTTAAACCTCAACATAAGAAATTTGGTTGAAACCCAATTTGAATGGATTATAACTACCATTGCTTATCCATTGTAAGATAAAAAATAAGTGACCCAAACTGAAGAAAATCTTATTGAAACAAAGGCAACATTGATAAAATCCAGAAAAGCTCAATCATTCATCTTCTCCATGGCAACAAGTCAGCAGCAACATTGTGCTGGAAGAAGGTACTGATATCAAATGCTAAGGAGACAACTAGCTGTAAATATCAATTGTAGATATGTTAGGTAAGTTCTAGATACACTCTTAGGTATGATGAGTTGATGGCAATAAAATCCAACTCAATTAGATTAAGAACATTTAGCTCGGGTATGATGAGTTGATGACAATAAATTCTAAGTCAATTAGATTAAGAACATTTAGTTCTTTGGTTGGTGTAAGATGTCTCTGTTTAAAAAACAGGTTCAAGTCTCCCTTTCTTCAAATCCAAAAACAGATGGACTTCAATCCATTGGTCACATCCAAAAGTGTTTTAGAACTAACCATGTCATGTAACAGTTTAACTAACTTGAGGAAGATTTCTAGTTTACACAAACCTAACTTGGAATTCTGCTGAAGCTGTTGCTTTGTTGTCTCATTTCTACATTGCCACTTACAAAGTTAGAAAATCAATTAACAAGTTTATAGATTTAGCCATGTTTTTCAAACATAGTTCTTAGCCATTTCTAAAACGAATCTTCCATAGCTTGACAATCACAACACCTTTCCCTGTTTATTCCCTTTCACTTCCCTCAATGAATCAAACCAGAAATACACTTTCTCAATTGTTGTACTTCAAAGTCGTCATGTGATGTAGGGCAGGCTTGACTCCAATTTTTGATCCTGTCCATACCATGGAATGCTGATAGATTGACATGTTTCCAACTTTGCATGCTCTTTAGCTAATAAATGTTGATAAAACAAGCATATTCAGTCTGTAGTTTGAATATCTATTCCTACTAATTCATGCCACCCGAATCAAATTATCAAAATTAGAACACAAATGTTGACACAAGTTTTACTAAAAAGAACCTAACACCAAAACTAACTTGAGACTTAGGTGATCCCGGGTGAGGGATAAGGACTATGATCCAATGGACGGTGCAGCTTAAGGTTGCAGCGTTTGACAATTTGTCACCTCTATTTGTGGGCCTTAACCACGCAAGTCATGGGAGAAATGCCAGGGACCTTTGCCTTATGAATAACTTATTTTTTTATATATAGCATTCAAGTCATTCATGCATTTATCCTATTTGGTTTGATGAGTGAACTTGAATAAGCTAACATACTCTTTACAAGTGCAAATGCTGTTTACTTTTAAGAAGATGGACCCGTTTATCTTCATTTAGAAAATGGACAGTGGGAAACATTGTTCGTCTCTGTTTTGATGATAAAAGCATAGTCCAAGGGAAAGCTAACTTGGGTTAACTTTCACCATAGCAACTTCTAAGTTTCCTTGACATAAGATTGGTAAGTTTCTTGTTTGACAAGTCAAAGCGAGTAGGAATAATGTCGAATGAATCTCCACAGATCTTGTTTGCTGGCATCCCCATTTCCCTTGCCAACTTCTCTGCTTCCTCCTCTCTCTCGATGACTTGATCAAAGCAAATGTACCTTCCAAATGCTGTCTTGTTCATTTCCTCAAACACAGATAAATGTGCCTCTGCCAATCTACTTACATCAACAATTGCTAGCAACCCATCTGCATACATTTCTTGGGCACCTGGATATTATGAATTACTGATCTAATTAGCTTTCATGACTATTGACTAGTAATTGAAAATTTGAAAGTAGAGAGTGAACAATGGAAAACAAATACACAATACCTTTAAGATAAGCTATTGTTGCCGTTGGATTTCTTAAGGAGAATTCAGGGCCTGTAACGAGCCCTGGACAGATGGTGGTCAGTTTTATGCCCATCTCCTCTGCTATTTTCCATGCAACTTTCTCTGCTTTCAGCTTCCCCAATGCATACCAGAGCTACCACATTTTAAGTGAAAAAGTAAGAAAGAAGTAACCAAATTTTGAAGGAAAATGCTATTAACTCTCATGTATTTATCTCAAAGCTATGGATGGTTTCTACTTCTAGTTTGCATGTACTATACCTTTTTGTCCATGCAGAGTGATTCATCACTCCAGCAATCATGGTTAACCAAAGTGGGGAGATCATGTTGGGTGCTGTCTCTCCATATGCAGGCCAAAAGTGAAGAAGTGAGCACACAATTCCTGACAGAGGGAGTTCTTGCACATGCCTTCATCACATTCTCACTGGCCTTTACTTCTATTTCAGCCATGGATTTCTAACAAACACAAACAGTTAAACCTAACTTTCTTACATTCTGCTTATGTCAACTCTTGAAAACAATTCCTACATTACAAGCATGTAATTGCAATTCCCAAGTATACTTCTTAGGGTAGCATCATTTTCTAATTCAAAGCTAGATTCAACTTGGTGCTTAGGGAGTGTCAAAACAAGATGGTAAAGCATATATAGGGTGTTGAGAGGAGACCGTGATGTATCATGAAGTTCATGATCGTGGCATGTATTTAGACCACATGACTGGACTGCACTTCTCCAAGTTTTCTCCACCATATATTAAATGAGAGCATAATTGGAGACTGGTTCTCTGGTCCTGGTAGGCCAACCCAACATAAAGTCCTGAAGGACTGTCTTTTTCCAGCGGCACACTCATTTTTAGCAATTAAACTTTTCAGCTTACTTTTTCATCCCATTCCTTATAGCTTTCATCTTAAAACTATGACCAAACTTTGCTGCCTACCTATGAAATTTACTGACAGTGTATAGTTAAAAACAGGAAAGAAGCATAGCAATGTAGCAAACAGTAATCTTTGTCTAATCTTCATAAATTATTACCATAGCACAAGCACTAAGAAAACTGTTCTTTCACCTTTTACTGGAGTTGATGAGACTTGGATGGTAGGAGCTAATGAATTCATTCATATACTAGTGATAGCATCTGGAAGAAAACTAGTCCAGTGGGGAAGGATTAAGCAGTAAAGTACGATTCTAGTGTTCCATGCATCAACCACATATTTTGCTATGCAGATTTCATACAGGACTACATACAATACCTTCTTGAGACTAATTTTATATGACTGGATAGCCAAAAAAAGTCAAGAAATGGGAGAATCATGACAGAACTCACTGAATATCCAGAGATGCCATCAGGGTCAGCGAAAGCTGAGGTATGAAACACGCCACGACACCCATCAAAAGCCTCCATTAGCCCCTGGATTTCAGTTGGCTTAGCCATGACCACAGAAATTTTGTTCTTACATGCCATCATGTCCCCTGATCTCTCCATCTCCCTCAGCTTCTCTACATCTTCTGCATTATTTTGAATCAATCCCATGGTGCCAATTAAGTCAGAATTATCAGACGGTATATCAACTAACAGCAAAATATTTTTATGACCATAATAGTCTTCCGAAAACGGAAACTTTTTGACAAGAACCTGAAATCTTACAAGGGTTTCCAAGCTTGTCAGGTTCCAGGCCGTTTTCAGCAACTGAATTCTTAAGTCATGGTTGGTACATATTTACCTTGGTTATCAACAAGGATCCGGACAGAGTATCCACGGAGCAAGAGACGGTTAACTATGGCAAGTCCAAGGAAAGAAGCGCCACTGGTAACACAAACAAGCTTCTCTTCAAGATCAACGTCGGCATTGTGGGAGCTCAGGCCTTTGAATTCTTCACTCTGTTTCCTTCTTTCCAGGGCAGCCAAAGCAACCAAAGTCTGCCTGAAGTCCTCAAACTCCATTCTTTCATTCTCTTCTTCTTGCGTCCTAACGATCCCCATGTGCACTTTCTAGCTGTGGTCAGTAATTAAGTTGAAACTCCGGCTTCGGATTATTTGCTATTTACCATCTGAAGTGGGTTAAGATTTTTTTGCTGCAAAGTAGCCTGAAACGGGAGGAAACTTTGCTCTAGAAACAATCATGCCACTGGCACCCCTCTCTATTTAAAGCTTATTTGCAACGTGTGGAAGCGTCAGCCAGCGTCATAGAGATTCCGCTTCGCTAATTCGCTTGGCTTCGCTTGGCTTTGTTTGGTTATTATTCAAATTTCACGAAGAATAATATTATATTTTTTAACAAATATCTAAACAATTTTAAAGCAAAAAATTTTACTTTTAAATCTATAATTTTTGCTCAGATTAAATTTTGGTTAAAATCAAATTAATTGAAAAATATTCTATTAAAATAATTAATTTAATTTAATTATTTAATTAATTTATAAATAAATATAATTAAATCGATTAATTGGATTAATCGAAGTTGTAATGAAAAATACATGGCTCGGCTTAAACAAACGGCTTGAGTTGGGTTGGTAAGAAGAGGAAATGGTACGGATTCTCACGTGTTGACTGGCTAGTACGCACGTGATGGCTCCACTGGTTGTTGAAATCTGATAGCCTTACCTGACTGTCACAATGAGATTCTCAAGCCTATTGGGGTTTCGCGCTTGCTCTTATCTTCAATTATGAAGAGGAAACACTGACGTAGGTTGAGTTGAATAATCTATTGCCTAAGTTAACGAAAGTCTCAAAGGAATTTCCTTACGTGGAGGACGCAGACCTGAAGAGAAGGAAAGCTATGAAAAGGCCATAGTCTATTCTCATGAATTAAATGTAAATAAGAATAATAAAATAAAAAAAAGGGGTAAAACCACAGGAATTATGACACGTGCAATTTCGTTCTCGTGCACACGTAGGAAAAAGGAAGAACAGGAAGAGTGGAACGTTTAAATGAGTTTCACGAGTCACGAGTCACGACTCACGACTCACGACTCACGTGTAACCTGACGGTTAATATTTGAAAATTGATAGGATCGAAATTAACTTCGCACACATCTTAATTAAAGAAAAAAAGAAAGAGTGTATAGTTAAATATTTTCATAATTTAACAACTAATATCATACCATATGAATGGAACAAAACCATAAGTTTAAACATGTGATTGTGATTATTATCTGATTTGTTACTCATTATTTTGAAAAAAAGTTTACTTATCTAACTAACATTTGTTTAATGAGTGGAAAGAAATTCACACTTTCATCTCATAATCACATGCGAATTATAACTAATATAGATATAATTAATAATTATATGCTCATTGTTCACGAGATTATGTTTTATTTGATTAAATCAGTTAATAAAATTTTATGACCGATTTAATATTTACAACACGTATGTGTATATATATATATATATATATATATATATATCCCCTATTTACACTTCTTCTCCCTACTAAAAAACCAATCTTCTCTATTTCATTGATTAAAAAAAAAAAGATAAAAGCCCATGCTTCCATTCATTTGGGCTGAGAGGCCCAGTATGGGACTGAAATCTTGGGTCAGAAACCCAACCTATTTATTGATGGATTACACTGAAAACGAAAGAAAAAAGCAAGGAGCCTTACAAGAATTACGAGTATTTTTAGAAAAAGAAAGAAATGGGTGGTTTGGAACAACGTTTTCCTGTTCCTTACAAGAATCTCTCATTGGAAATCAAGGTTAAAAAACAAACTCTTTTGCTTTGTTTCTTTCTATCTCTGAGTTTTCTTCTTGCTCAGAATCAAATTGGCTTTGTTTTTTTTTTTTTGTAAGTTTTCTAATTTTTATGTTATCTTTATTGTATAAAAACAATTAAATATGGTATTTTCATTCTGGGTTAGTGTTTTATTGTGAATTTGATGATCAATGGCTTGTCCCAGTGTAGCATGATTTGCACTATTTTATAAGCTTAAGCAAAATGAATTAAAGGGTCAATGGGACTTTAATTTCTGGGATTATGTTCCTGTTGTTGCTTCAATGGAGATTGTTTATAGTATGAGGGATAGAATTTAACTTTTCAGTGACCTCTAATGTAATGGTTCAAATGAATCGAGAAGTTCAAGTTTAGTTTGGGAATTTAGAAGATTGTTTTCTCAAGTGGTTCATAAACCTGGGATATTAAGTGTGTTATGTGTGAATGGTAAGCATGATTCAAAGTGAATTATGTTTGGTTAGATTTGGTTTCTGAGTTTTATGGATGGCTTAAATGCCTATGTATGGGAATTTAATCTGTTGCATAATTTGATGAAAACATCATTGTTGCCTATGTAAGTTAGTCTGTCTTCTTTTCCGGTATGCTTCTGTTTCAGCTACCTGTATATATCTCCTGACAGGCAGTGTGATATCTTTGAACTTGTCTTCTTCTAATTTACAGTTTCAGTGATAATTGATATTTTTTTGATGCGTTTCTTATCCTAAAGATTGCTTTCAAAATGTTATGTTGTTAGAGTTTCTCAATTGCATGCCTTTTGCTTGACAGGGGAATAGAACAGACCTAGTCATTTGCCGTTATGACGATCATTTTCTTGTGAGTACAAGACTTCCACTTTTTGCTTAAAGTTTGACTCTCGCTGGGGTGTGTGTGTCTGTGTGAGGTTGAGGGAGGGGGTGATGATTCCATGTCTTTTTGTGATAAATATAATGTGTGAAAGAGTTCTCAGGTTATGGCAACGCAGATAGGAACTATGGGAACAATACTGCACGCCAGGTTTGCCTGTTATTTTCCTTTAATGCAGTTATTCTTTATTCTTTTCTTTCAAAATTGAAGAGAAAGGTTTTAGTGCTTCCTCCGTTTCTAAAGTCACAGGCACTGTTGTTAAGTAAAATTTGGGTATGATTTCTTTGTTACCAAAATTTTATTGAAGTTATATGGAGTATCATCATGATAATTCTACTAAGAAGAGTGTCTGAGGTGTGTTTATTTTTATTGCCAGAAAGGAGGAAGGGGTTTCAATCCAGCCGACTTTCCATGTGTCTGTAATATTTGGCAAACGAGATGAGGTAAGCCGGACTTTCCTGTTGTATGTTAATTTGACCTTTCATAGCTGACCCGAATTTTGAATGAATGCAACATGTGCAGCCAATGCTACTGGCAATTGCCCGTCAGCTAATTGAACAAATAAGGTATTTTTCCAACTCAATAAGCATGTTACTACTATTTCATGCAAGGTGAAGTCCCGTCCTCCTTATTGGATCTATAATAGTTGCAAATATTCATTATATGAGAGTTGTTAAACAGTAATAACCACAAATGAGAGTTCTCCCATCATTTTTCTTGATTAAACACTGTAAACTTGCAAATTTGATTGTGATTTGTATTATAAGATAATCATTTCTTAATATCGTGAGATGTCCTTTTGTGTTTGCAGCTCCTCGGCCTCCTCTTTGCCTTTAGTGCTTTCTCTGGGGCTCAAAGACCATAGTGCGGTACCGTCCGATAACTTATGTTTGCAAATTGTGACTTTCTTTTGCCCCTTTCTTTTTCTTAATGTGCTACAAAGTAGTTAAACTCATATGATATCTGATTTTATGTAGGAGACACTGAAAGGCATTGTTTCTGCAGTGATGGAGAACCGTCTCTGGTAATACATTGATGCTAAATTTTCAGCTTTTGTTGTCTAGGTGTTGGATTTTGTTTATTAAACAAGGTAGCATATAGCGCAAGTTGGCTTCTAATCACATGTATTCTATCTTTCAATTCAAAACCTTAAGTAAGAAAGAGGAGTTGGACCGCGTGCAATTTTGTCATTCAATGGTCAGAATCCAAAATTTCTGCTAGTTGCTTCTTAGTTGTACATATTTACTCACAAAGAAGGGTTAAGACGACCATCCAAATAAACTGTGTTGTGTTTAAAGATTATCAATCTCCATATCTCAATCATTTAGCCATCACTGTTTCTTAGGAAGGTATGAACATACCAAATAAGCTTTGGTGTGCCCACATTTGTTACAGTTAATCAGAAATGAACAGTGGAACTGGAAGTGCTGAACATTGACAAAGAACCTCCTTCCTAATAATATAAACCCGAGAAGGTTTTCATGCTCTCAGTAAAAGCTTCCTTACTGCCATTCAAACCAATCTGTGATTCAAAAATATATTTACCACTTGCTTTAATCCTAGCTCGAAGTTCAAGTGAGTACGTAACAGAGAGAGAGAGGGAGAGAGAGAGATTGCAATTATATTACAATATCCTGTCAATAAATTACACGAAGTTACATGAGACTGAAAGGGAATGGCATCTCAAAATTTGGGTGTCCGGCTTAACGCAGCCATAGATATGGTACACTAGAAATACAATAAAACGCACTCCTATACCTCAACACCTTTTTAAGAACCTTATGAACCCTAGCACTGAAGAAATAATCAGGCAGTTTCTATATCAACATCACCACCACACTCTTGTTTCACCTTCACTCTTTGTTGTTGGCCAAAGCATTTAGTTGCTTCTCTAACTGCAAGGTGATGAGACAAGTACAATGAACTCAGTTTCCAGTCAGTTGAATTAAAATCTAACGGAGATTAAAACAAGAGGACGTGATTTGGTATGCATGAAGAATCCTCTGATGTGTGAGTATTCAAGATTAATGTACAAACCTGCATATTTCTCATTTTCTGTCTCTGCAATTCCTCAACAACGTTCCCAATACTGACAACAGAATTCAAATTTCAGTAAACTGCGCATAAAGAAAGAAAAGCAGAACTGTTTGAGCTTCCTGTCATACCTTTGTTGCAGCTGAATCACCTGAGATTGTAGCTCTCTCTCCCTCAAAGAAGAAGGTGCTATCTGCACATACAATTAAGACAACTTAATCATTCCTTTAGAAAAACAAGCTCTTTAACAACCTATGCCTATTTGAGAAAAGACGTCTCCGAATGAGATATCCAGCATTTATACAAACCAAATCCCATGGTCATAAAAATGCATAAATAATAGGGTAATTGACACCATGGAGCATCACGTTGTCATATGATTACTAAGATATAAAGGTTGATTAGTTACCAGCAAAAGGTCATTGCCTACCTCTGTCGAGTCCCCAAGCTTACCTATATAAGCAAGAGAAGTCAAACTTAACACCATACTATCTTCCAAGTTTAAGCAGCAAAAATGCAGCCAATCAAAATATAGAGGCATTACCATAAGTTTGCTCCAAATACTTGATCAGTCTAATGATTTCTTCCTGTCAGCAATCATTGACAAACAGAACATGTTTTCAGATAGGCAGACTCTATGACATCAGAGAGAACATATAAAAAGAAACATACCCTTTGCATGGTGTTCTGTTGCAAAATGCATTGTAGAGATGGAAGAATTGCACTAGCTGTAAGGTTTAGAGATGTTGGACAGGTTGAACCTCCGATAGCCGGGTTAAAGATGCAGTTTGTAGGTCCCTGAATGAGAAAATAATGGCAATGGTCACAAAGCCATTGCCTAAAAGATAAATCACTAAGTTCCATCCTTATTACTCTTCATCCCAAAAACACATGAATTCAAACATAGAAGACAGTTTGTAAAAGCAACTGTGTGGGGCTATGATGAGGAAGTATAAACCCCAAAATGTTCATGGGTAGCAATCCAGATATTAGTGGATAAACCTAACCAAAAGCAATGAAGTATTACATGAAAAATACAGCTTGAAATAAGATTAAACATGCATCCATAAGGACAAGCACATGAAACGAATACAACAATACAAGTCAATCATATTTAAAGAAACCAAAGTCCGGTGAAATCATTTACCATATAGTCTTTCAGCAGAAATATAGTTTATTCAATATGACATAAAATTATAACAGTTGATGGCATTAGATGTATGCCATTTTGTTGATGTAGCATCTTCCATGATGCCAAACTATGTAAACAATGCTAATAATTTTCACTGCAGTATATTATAACAGACAAAGTAAGACATTTTGACACTCAACATGCATCAATTCAAAACTGAGCTGCTGATTTCAAATAAACACTGTTTATTAATACAAAGTTGCATATCAAATGCGGTCATTGTAAGTGATTTCATCCAAATAATGACAAAATACCTACTTAAACAATCACATCATTTAAAAAAATCCATGTCGACTTTTGTGACCTGTTTCTTACTTCTCATCATTTCTGTTTCTTGATTCTGTTAAAATGCGAAATCTATGGAAATAATAAAGAAATGGAAAAATAAAAGGAAATAAGAAGACAAATAGGGAAAAAAATTGTAGATTTTTTAAATGACATGACTGCATGAATGATTATTATGTTGTTACTTCATCATTTCTTTGAACCGAATCTGTTAAGGTGACCATAGTGGATACAATTTAAAAAGTTCAGCAAACGAATTGGGACAAATTGAAGTTAGGTGAGCAAAGTGGAAAAAAGCTATAAGTTTAGTGACCATCAATAAAATTTAATGTTTCTTTAGATAACATGAGGTTAACATTTCATACTAAGGCTGATTCGGGTTGAGTGCATGAGGTTAGCCTAAAATTGCAGATGTACCTTGGGACTGAGATCTGCTGATGTCACCTTAAAACGTCCCCGCTGAACAACTGCTCCTTCTGATCCATCCTCTGATACATAACAAGAGGCCAAGAAACAAAACTTAGTTCATTAGAGTACAAATAAGTAGCAAAGCTTCTGGGTAGAAATGGAAGAAAACAAAACCAGAAAATACCAGATGAAATGTTATTTGTTTCTCTCCTTTGGCGGTACAACAATGGACCACTGTAGTTGCGATCAGATTGAAACTTGGGCTGTGGGAAGTCCCTTCAAAACATTTTTTATATACCCATGTTAATATAGATTATGTCATCAAAAACATTTCCAGTCACGTAAATGGCAATGATAAAAGCAACAATGTTCCTTTTAACTATAGTACAGCAGAATCAATGACCAAGTCAAAATAAAGTCCCCATGTACCAGATCATACATCTAGGACAACCAAAGAATTCAAAAACTCATTATATCTGGAGCTTGATAATAGGAAAAAGATCTTCCTAAGTGATAATTCAATGCACACTTCAAGCTTTCTATCATGTTTGGTGATAACAATTTCAATCTCAGGGTAAACTTGACTAGGAACAAAGCTTACCTGTCCCCATCTCCTGTAACCTTTTTAGGAGAAAAGGCATTATCAGGTATTAGTGAACCGCTCAAGAACTTTTTAAGCTCTGGAATGACCTGACGTGGTAAAGAGCTACTTTGCCCGGAATTCTCACCCTCATTTCTTCCAGCATCTTGGTCCGCAGCTCTTGATGACTTTGTAATGATCTGTTCACTTTCTGATTGGGTAGCACCTTTCCAATTCGGACTATTTGCACCCTCATCATCTTCACCAATGTCAAAACAGCCTCTGCACCAATTAAATAGTCCCATGAGTGAAGGAATTAAAATAAATGGCAACCTTTCTTTTTCCAAAAGAAAATAGTAATTAGCCTAAGAGGTGCCATATATGTTCTCGACAAAAAATGCGCAAAAGAAAATACTACAGAAAAGCAGATAACTTAATAATTGAATGACCAAACTTGTGACAAAATACTGCTTCCTATTTGAAAAAATTACAATTCAAAATCTCTTTGAATGTGACAAATGCCAAAAATGATATCCTCCAAATTATGTTCTATGATGAAATATTTGCAATAGTAACACCATGCAAGCATAAAAATGTCATACTTGAGAGCTTGAAGAGGTTTAATAGGAAATGAAGCAAGTGAACTCCCCAAATCATGAAGATCACTAATCCTGCCCTGAAACAAGTAAAAGGTGGATTTAAATCTTAACGGATAAGTTTAATCAAATGAATTCAACCAAGGACTGAAGAACTGACAATTTAACTATATCAAAATAATTTAGAATTATAACTGGTACCTCCGGGCTAGTTGCAGCAATGGAATTACTAGCCATTTCTGGAGACATCCTCTCTGCTGGTAATCCAACATCATCATGCCTGTCCCTTTGCTTCCTGCTTCCATCTCGATCTTCTGCACTTGAAACATCATCATAATCTTGAATCTGCAGGTAAAACATTCAGCACTTGTATGAGAAAAAGATAATATAGCAATTTTTGAACTATCTCTAGATAATTAATAGTAATAAAAAAAATAACATGGGCAATTAAAAATACTTACAAGCGCAGCCTGACTTTTCAAGTCCTCTAGGTTGAAATTCCAGGCACTGATGCCTCTTATATACTCTTGCTGCAAGGTAAAGGGAATTCATATTAAAAGTGATACTACGCAATCATATATATTTAATATACCATGGGCATTTGTTAATCAAAGTAAAACTAGTTGCATATAGTTTCTCTTAATCTTTAAGACCTGACATGAACGTGGAACTGAGAGCAATTGGGATTACTCACAGTACAAAACCTGAAACACTAGTAAGGCATGAATGGAAGAACATGGCACTATCAGTTACTTTTTGCCAAAAAAAGTAAAAGAGCTCCATTATTAACCTGCGATAATTGCTCTTTGTCCTCATAGAGAGCTTTATTCTGTACAAGAAGATCAGCCTCTTTTGCCTGAGACATAAAAGAAGAGATCAGAGTTGCAAATTAATTCCCCATCGTAAACAGAGGTCAGAAATTAAATAAAGAAGGTAAGCAAGAGACCTTTAGCACCCTAAAACGTTCACCTAATGGAACAAGGCCATCAAGAATGCTACGAGCCAGATAATCATAGGGGCGTGCATGTTTAAAGAAATGGTGCTTCAAAAGCTTCTCTGAACTTGGACGTTTCTTTGGGTCCTTCACCAAGCAAGTAGCTACCAACTCCTTGAAAGACTAGAGAA